TGTCGTTCTCCTCTATTTTGGGATACTTTCTTTTGTTTTTTTCTCGTAGTTTAAGATTGACCTTTACATTTATTTCATTGTCGTCCTTGTGTGCTTCAGACGGTGTCATCCTTGTTGATGAGTGAGATGTGCTGTTATACTGTTTCAATGCCGGCGTTAGGGCATCGGTCCATTTCATGTTGTTAAACCTAACTCTATCGTGAATTTTGTTTTTCATCGTTCTAATAAAACGCTCGGCCACATTTGCGTGGGTCTTCGTGACGATGTGGTTTATTCCTTCACTGTTGAAGAAATCCTGAACTTGATTTTTAGTTGCAAACGCTCCGTCGTCATCAGAATACACGGACATCGGATAACCCATCTTTTTAAAGCTTGCTCTCAACGCCTTCAAAACGTGCTCTCCGTCTCTTTCCTCCATCGGTATTACATCTGCTAATTTACTGAAGATGTCAATCACGACTAAAGCATACTGTGGAACGTTCTTGTCTTTTGCTAAAGGTGACATATGCATTATGTCTATTTGATATTCATATCGTGCGAATGGAGCGGTATAGGAATTAGTACCTCTATAATTTTTGATTTGTTTATTTGGTTGTTTCTTTAAGAAAGACTTTACATCGTCTAATGTTATTGTTGGGTCTTCTTCCTTTGCCTTCTTGTGTGTCGCTTGTGTGCTTCCGAAACCCTCGTCTAAGTCGTAATAGATGTTGCTGATTATTTGGTCTTTTGTTAATCTCGCCATTATATTAAATTGTTAGAAAATATTTTTTCAATATAAAGCCCCACCCCTTAACATAAAATACAAACTACTTAAAGAAAAATGGATATAATATAGTAAGAAAAAAATGACACTGTTTAATTATGATAAATGTCCTTGTAAAAATAAAAAATGTAAGTCTGTCGTGGCACTAGCTAATATTTTACCTGTTAATGTTTGTAATCTTATAGGTGGTTATATGAAACCAACATGTTTTGATTGTTGGTATTTGAGAGATGAAGAAGAACATTTTATGAGAAATAAAGACATTCCTGAAGAAGGTCTGGAAAAAGCAGAGCTTCAGTTAAAGATTATTGAACAAATGCTAAATAACGATATTACTTGTCTAACAGTAATCCCTTTTGTTAACAAACAATACAGAAAAAGAATTGACAGAATATTTAATAAACAAGAGGTTAAAGAAAGATTTAAAACAAGAAAAATGTATTATCAAGGATTAAAATCATATTGTAAGAATAATCAAGAAGAAGTTATTGAACTTTTAAAAAATTGTCTTAAAATTGAAGAATTAAAGTTTATCAAAAATAGTGATTTGTTCTTTCCTAACCTAAACAATTGGTGGTCATATAGAAATAACAATTATTATATGAGAAACATATTAAGCGACTTAATTGAAATTTACACAGACCAATTAATAAAAGGATACGAGCATTATTTTTGTGAGTATAGTATGAGTTGTTATAGTGGTTGTATCGCTGGTGAGATTGAATACGGGTCAAATTAACTTTTGTTTATTAATATTATTATCTTATAATATGATTAAACATTGTTTTATAATCTAACAAGAAGGTTAAGACATTTAAATTAAACCTGAAACCCAGACCAGCCGACCAGCAACCCCCTAGCCAAAACTACTTAAAGAAATATTACCTTATATATTAAGAGAAAAATGAACGGTGATGGAATCAATAATTATATCGATAAAAAATGCTATGATTGTTGCCACTTCAAAAAAGAAAATATGGAATTGTATAAATTGAGTTTACCTAATGAAATAGTGAATAATATTATTAATTATTCAATGGATGGTGAAGAAGACATATGTAAAAATTGTAAAACTTGGAGAGATAATCAATTTTTAATCAAATGTCTGTTGGGAATAAAAAGAATACATAATAGAAATGTAGAAGATGATATTTTAATATTTCTAACTGTAAATAAAATACCACCTTACGATTGTGTTAAACAGTTTCTTAAAATCAGTAAGAAAAAATATGACACGATTTACGATATATTATGGATGTTGGGTTATAGTCAAGAGAAAGGAGAAGATGTTAAAGAAAATATCAAATTATTTATTGAAAGTAAAAAGTTTAATGTTCAGAATACAGTGAGAGATGTTAATATTATTTTTAAAATGATGTATGAAAGAAGTAAGACAAACCAATTAGATTATTATCCTGAACTGAAATTATAATCATAATATAATAATAACATGTAAAATCTTATATGTTATAATTATACTGAACTTTTAACCTATAAAACATAGCTAGACAATCACATAAAAATCACATAAAAAGAAGTTGTTAAGATATATTAAGAATGGTTGTGAAGCAAACTATAATGAATAATTATGGAATGACAGAAGAAAAAGCAAAAGAAGACTTTGGTGAATTCTTCAAATGTAGCAGATGCCTTTATGATAAAACAATTGATGAATTTGGAAATGTAAAAAGTGGAAGAAGATATAAATATTGTCAAGAGTGTAGAACAAAAATAAATAATTGTAGAGATAAACGTCAAAGAAACAAACGACCCACCAACACCCCAGAACTTGATAACTACTAAAAGGGTCAACTCTTTCAAATGAAAAAAATGTTTGCCCCCAGCCCAACAATGAACAAGGGGGGCAATTACCAAAATGATTACCTTAACGAAAACGATAAATAAGCTCCCCAAAAACCCTCTTTTAAAAACGAATAAGGTGGTTAATAGGTTTGAGATGAACATAAAAACCAGAACAGGCAACCATCAACAGGCTTCCCCCCAGGCCCCCTACTTTCTCCATTTTTTGGGGGGGGGGGGGAAGGCCTTAGGCGGGAAAGGGGGGGAAAGGATCTCAAACAGGGAGACAAGATCCTAGGGAGGAAAAGGGAGGAGATCTCGGGGGGGAAGGGGGAAGGGATCTCAACGGGGGAAAAGATCTCGGGGAGGAAAAGGGGGAAGATCTCAGAGGGGGGGAAAAGGCCTGAGGGGGGAAAGGGGAGACATGATCTCAACAGGGAAAGGTGGCAAAAGATCTTAGGGAGGAAAAGGAGAAGATCTCAGGGGGGGGAAGGCCTTAGGGGGGAAAGGGGGGAAAGGAACTCAACAGGCAAAGGGGGGGAAAGATCTCAGGGAGGAAAGGCAGAAGATCTGGGGAAAAAATGCCTTAGGGGGGAAAGGGGAGACATTATCTCAACAGGGAAAGGGGTGGAAAAGATCTTAGGGAGGAAAGGGAAAAGATCTGGGGGAACAAAGGCCAACAGGGAAAGGGGGGAAAAGATCTTAGGAAGGAAAAGGGAGAAGCTCTCAGGGTGGGAAGGATCTCAACAGGGAAAGGGGGGGAAAGATCTTAGGGAGGAAAAGGGAGAAGATCTGGAAAGGCCTTAGGGGGAAGGGGGGAAAGGATCTCAACAAGGAAAGGGGGCAAAGGGTCTTAGGGAGGAAAAGGGAGAAGATCTCAGCGCGGGGAGGCCTTAGGGAGGAAAGGGGGGGAAGGGGGGAAAGGAAACAGGGAAAGGGGGGGAAAGATCTCAGGGAGGAAACGGAGAAGATCTGGGGAAAAAATGCCTTAGGGGGGAAAGGGGGGAAAAGATCTTTGGGAGGAAAAGGTAAATCTTTCTCGGGGGGAAAAGGCCCTAGGGAGCAATGGGGGGAAAGGATCTCAAACGGGAAAAGGGGGGAACATATTTTAGGGAAAGATCGTGGGGGGAAAAGGCCTTAGGGGGGAAACGGGGGAAAGGATCTTAAGCGGGAAAGGGGGGAACAGATCTTAGGGAGGAAAAGGGAGAAGATCTCAGGGGGGGAAAAGGCCTCAGGGGGGAAAGGGGGGAAAGGATCTCAATAAAGAAAGGTGGCAAAAGATCTTAGGGAGGAAAAGGGAGAAGATCTCAGGGGGGGAAAGGTTTTAGGGGGAAAAGGGGGGAAAGGAACTCAACAGGCAAAGGGGGGGAAAGATCTCAGGGAGGAAAGGCAGAAGATCTGGGGAAAAAATGCCTTAGGGGGGAAAGGGGAGACATGATCTCAACAGGGAAAGGGGTGGAAAAGATCTTAGGGAGGAAAAGGGAAACATCTCAGAGGGAGAAAGGGCCTTAGGGGGGAAAGGGGGAATGGATCTCAACAGGGAAAGGGGAGCAAAAGTCTTAGAGGGGAAGGGGGGCAAGGGGACAATTCCAAAGGGACGCAAATAAGAAAGCAGGCCTGTAATGTTGGCGGCCTGAGCCGGAGGCGTTAAAATCACTATTGAACACTGCTACAAAAAGGTCCTTGTCATACATTCGTCAAAAGAAACACATATATATATATATATATCATAACCAGACCCCTAATATGCCAACGCATCTAATAAGGGCGCGCTCTTGTTGGATTTTCTTCAAGCTTTGAATCGCGTCTATGAAGGAGCCTCTCGATAGATCAAATACAACTTTAAAATCCGACAAGGGGCAAAAGGGAAAACCTTAACTTGATTCTAATGACTTCTCGGAAAGGACCTACTGAGAGTGCTCTCATTGGATTTTAGTCACGTCTTGACCTTGCATCAAGCTTAAAATCTGATACGAGCCCCTTGGGAAGCACGTTTCAACATTTGGGGAGCCGGGCTCTTCATCTTTTGACGCATTCAGCCTTAGCCTGCCTCAGAGTCATGTCGGCGGTTTGCGACTTCCTGTACAGCATGTCAACAGTCAGGCTTGAGCATGACTTGAGTAAGGTGTTCAAGGGGGCCATTCCATGCACGGAGTTTGACAGTCAGAATCGTTGAACATATACATGTCAGCACTCTTCTTTATGTGTTGCAATATTTACTTAAGATCTAGTAAGGCCCCCTTTGAACAAAAAAACACACACAGAGTCAAACTCAATTAAACGTATATGTCAGACAAGGACAGGACATACCGGTGAACCAGGCCACGAATGAGCACTGTTCACCAAGAGAGATCCTGACAATAAGCAGGCATTTCAATCATAGCTGAGATCATGCAGCAAAATAAGCAAAACATCCAGTCAGGTCTACCGCCCAGCTGCGCTCAAGTGAAAGAGGTGGTTGGTGGGCGCCTTCTCATCGCCTTGGCCGCTCCCGGGCTCTGCGGAAAGCTCGGCCAAACCGTTGCATCCAACCGTCGACAGAGAAACAACGGAGGGCTCTCAACGTTTATCTCATCTATCCCTTGTATTCCAAGGACTTGCGTAGATCACGTGATGAGAACTCTGAACTCGGATGCAAGAACGACCTGCTGTCCAAACAAGTGGGAAGGTCGCAGTGGCATGCGGATGGCAAAGTTGGGCGAGTCATTCTAATATACAAATACTTATCATTGAACAGATCATCACAAACACACACACACACACACAGAGAGCATGAACAACTAGAACTCAGCAGGACCATGATTGTGGAATTTTATTGACTGCGAAGGCATGTGCCAGGCTTGCCTGTGCTTGGTACCGGGTCTTTTGTTGGCATGCCTTGAGTTGGCACTAGCAACAGCCGTGTTATGTTCATTGACAGTACGAGAAAATCCCAAGCCGGCTATCAACTTCAAGACACTTCACGGAGTCAGAGTTGGAATCGAACAGCTTGGATATTCGAGAGACTTGGAGAAGAACGCAAATCACAAGGATAGAGAAGTCCGGCACCACTTCTCATGTGCTACCAATGCTGTTGCTTACAGACTAAGGCCTACATTGGTGGAACTTGACTTGCCGGCGAGACTGCTTGTTTATGCAATTATCGGAGCATCCTACAAAAGCATTCCTTTCGACACCAGCAGATTCCTGTTATGCTATAGCAATGTGTTCAAAGTGGTGTCAACCGAAGATGGACGTCTCTACACCCCACCCTCCCCCAAGCCATCCGCCTGATTCAACATGGTGGTCGAAACGCAAAGAAGCCTTCTTTGGGCCGAAGCTGGTTTGACTTAAGAAAGGTCGCTCTACTTCTTACCGAATTGGGTTAGCTTTAGGTCTGACCCCACCTTGGTGGATTCAAATATCCTGTGGCGCTCGAGGCTACACATGAGCCGGGTTACTGCCATGTGAATGGATCGATTCTTTTTCGACACATTCATTCGTCCGAGCGGCTCTTCTGGCGGGTGGCTGCAAAGGCGGCCTGCAGAACACTAACGAAGCGATATCGACCAGGGTAAATCACAATAATTCACCTGGCTTGGGGGACCGCCGAATTAGGGTCTTTGATGGATGAGGTCAGAATTCTCCCGGTATGTTGCTATACTTTGCCCAGGCCAATCTTTTGTTGATTCCCTGCCTCTTTTTGGAATCCCCCTGAAGGAACTGGAGTTGCCAAATACTTGTCTGGACGACGCATCAAGGAATTGACCCTGTGTGCAGTTTTGGAATCCCGCTTAATCTCCTCACCAACACTCCACTCGAGCTCGTGTGTTTCAGGAGATGGGTCTGAACCCATGTTATTCTCACAAGCCGAACTTCTGACTGCAAAAATGTCCAACCCCAGAAAACCACCAACTTTCCAAAAGGTAATGTTGAAAGCCGCCTAGTCAGCAAAACATATAGGCCAAAAAGTGCAATACACCATCATTTTGTGTTGGAGCGGATTGCAGGTCAGGGAACGACAAGTCTCCCGACCACTGCGGTGCAACTGACTGGTGCCTGAAGGATTCAACATATGAGATGTTCAATCATGTTCAACCACTTCCTTAAAAAATGCTGCGCCTTGAAGGAATGAAAGGCACTGAGCAAAGACTTTGGTGATGCCAGCCTACCAGCGAAGTTGTGTGATGGGGAACCACGTGTTTGCTTTGCAATGCTTGACACAGTAGGTGGCAAGATGCAATCTTGCATTCCTTCTCCAAAGTTGATCACAACTTGCCACCGAGCTGCCAATGACCTCTCCTCTGCTTGGAAAGTACCTGAGAATGAGCACTTACTCAGCATCTGCATGAACCACATTTATTCACCAACCAAGAAGAGAACTCCCTAAAAAACTGCCATGTCAAAGCTCGTACCCCTGTTCGAAGCGGAGCTCCCTCTCTTTGCTGGAGCTCCCCTGGTCCTTATGCTGTGTGCCGCCTGAAAGCAAGTTCTCAATTGGGTGCTTGCCATGGTTGGTCAACATCGACTGGGCTGATTTGATCCCCACCAGGCTACAAACTCACCATGATGAAGCAATGACAAGAGCTCTAGGTGAACTATAGCAGTTCACCAATCCAAATCAAGGGGCCCGTTGAAAAGAAGGAACCATTGCCATGAGTGAGGTCGAAACCCCTTTTCGCGAGGTGGCTAAAGCTTGCCCTGACAAGCACTAGAATCAGCAATCACCCGCTGGCAACTTCTGGTCCAGCTTGTAAGTCCATCGCGAATTCAACTCTTGAAGCGGGCGGCTCGAATCTACGTATCTATCGTTCGCAGTGTTGCGGTGTCTACATTGAATTGAACGTGCTCAGCATTGAGTGAGCTGTTTATGTGAGCGGCTTCAAGCCAAGTCGCCAAACAAGGCTTAAACGATGAAGGTTGCTTTCGCGGCAGGCCTCTGATTAAGCCACTTAGCACATGTTTTTCAACGGCTGCTCCCAATCGACGATCCTTGAAGAAAAACCACTGTGGCTCCCCTACCCGCGCTCTGAGACATTCTCTTGCTTGGTCAAAGGAAGGCCAAAACGCGCAGGCACCGTGCCGCTCTGCATCGGGGGTGCGGTAGTGCGCCTTGCACGCACTCAACTCAGCAGCGTGCTTCAAGTTGGGCACCGGCTTGCCACCTACAGTCGCTGATGCCCGGTGGGGCTGGAAATCATATTGTGAGGGGCCCGAAACAAAGACCCACCGGAGATGATCCGGAACACATGCTGCGTCAAAATGTGTTGAGCGCTTGGAGGTGCTGGTGGTGTTTCACGCGGTGTTTGCGGGTTCCTCAACATGGGCCCCGAATAGCCCAAGGATACTTCCAACTGGAAGCGAAAAATGTGGGAGGCAAGCCACCCTGTGAATACGCCATTTCCCTTGTACCCAAGGGAACCTGGGAAAGGAATCGCCAATTGGGACTTAGTGTCCCAAAACTTCCCCAACCACCCACTCCAGGAACCTGCCCCAAGGCCATCCAGAAGTGGCTAAGACCCTGTAGCTGTCACCGTAGACGAAAAAGGTTGGGGCCTAGTTCCCCCATTGCTTGACTTTCAAAGAGCTGCACTTCAAAGGTAGATTTGAATCATCACAACTCAGAAAGGACACCTTTAATCCGCTCCCCCTATTGGCAAGGACTGGAGTCAAACCCTTTTGGCATGCCCTGGGACCGCACTAACCCTATTAAAAATCACTTGCTCCCAAACAATATCTATTTATTATGGGGGGGAGGGGGGATTTAATAATCGGGGAAGGGATTAAGTGAGCTTACTTGATGCGGACTGATATAAAAGGGGGATTATACACGAAACCCTGCTTGACAAAGAACAAGGTCGACAAACAGGGGGCCGCGGCTGGGTTGCGCCACCGAGGACCACTTCCCGTGGCTTGGGTTTGCCTCCCATGGCTTGTAAGTCGGACAAGCCACACGAGGCGTGTGAACCGCCCACCAAAACCAAGCGCCGTTTGCCGTTGAAGGCGCAAAGGCAGCAGCAAGATGCCGGCGGTTTCGTGGGCGCAGTGACCGCGTTGGCGCTCGCATTGGGAGTGCTTCTGCGATCCGCCGCATGCCGGGACCGCTCTTCGGCCAAGAGCTGCTCGAAGTCCTCTGCCGCCTTACGAAGGCCGTCCTTCCTGAGGCGAGAGACACCCACAGGCAGAACGAAACATTCTGGACCTGGAAGGAAATCACCATGTGCTCGCATGCTACTGCAAGTATTTATGGGTCTGCGGACATCTTGACGCGTGTTGGTTTACTCCCTTGCAAATCAATATGGAAACCAGAAAGGGATTCCCCGCACAGAGGCTTCGCCCAAACACGGAGCTAGCCACTCGTTCAAAGTCCCTCACTGCTAGCCAACCAGGGCTCGCTGGCTTCAGCGACTTGCCGAATTGTGCGAAGGGCTATTGATTCCAATTGTGTACGATGTGCACATGAAAGACAACAAGTGTCGGCCAGCATTTGTAGCAAACTCATTCCGTCATATTGTTTGCAGGCGAAGTCTTGCTCCAAGAATGCAAGGCACATTCATGGCTACTTGCTTGATTTCGTGTATGTTGCTTTCCTAACGATGCTGGAGGCTACAAATCTCATGATTCAAACAAGGTCGCTCCAGAAGAGCCTTCTGCTTTGGGCAAGGGAGCAGGGCATGGAGAGATTTCGCGTGCCGAAGGCTTGCGCACAGCCATAGTCCCTCAGTCCCTGAGGCTCTGTGCAGATAACTCCAGCATGTTGGTCATGCTTTTCTATACCACCGGCTTAGCAGCATTGGAAGTACCCAAGGGGCCTCCCCTGGTCTTGTCCTGGAGCAGCCACAAGAACAAGGTCGTGCCCCCATTCGAGGACACACAGCACTTTCTGCACTTGCAGCAGCCACCAGAATCGACAACCCTTCCAGCACATTCAGCTGCAATGCTTTTGAGACCTACTCCAACGTTCCATCTACCACGTTAAGATTACGGAACTTACAATCCATTGGGGAAACGCATCAGCAAGCAGAACGCTAGCCTGAACTAGTCTGGCTTGGGAAGCTCTTGGGCCAACATTACCAGCTGACTGTGGCAACAAATGTTTCTGGCCTGCGTTGCTTCTGTAAGCTTCAGGCATAGAAATGATGGCGCGGCTGTTGGTTCAGAAATCTTGCGTCTTGCCGGCACAAATCATTTGCTGTCCAAGCATTGGGTGCTGTGAGGCTTGCGCCGATTGCTGCCTTTGGTCTATTTCTTGCTGGCATGAGCAAATTCCACGTGGGAGTCACCTCCCAAACATTGCAGGGTCTGAGCAGAACGGCCATGCCACATGCCAACATGTTGGGCATGCCAGGATTCCTAGGTCGTGGACTCTGAACGTGCCCTGGAGGTTTTCTGGCTGCCGCCTGCGAGCATATGTTGCTGGTGCACCTCAAACTAAAATATCCAGATATGGGTTTGTCTTTCCTTTGGTTTCGTTGTAAAACCAACCAAGAGTGCATTGTTAACAGTGCGACATTGATGCGAAGCACGGATTTCTCCTATGCCAATCTCGCCCAACTCACCCATTCCGCCCAACCTCTGGCCGAAATTCTTCCGCCGCCGTCTGCCCGGCGCTTGCGGACCAGCCTGTGCGCGGATTTGCGGGCTGCTGGCTGCGGACATGGAGCCGCCAAAGTGCTGAAGCGGTTTCTTTTGCAGTTCTGGAGTCTCAGAATGCGAGTTGAGCTCAGTTGGGCTGTTGCTACCTGCCCAGAATACCTCTGCAAACACCGCCTGTTTCGTCAAACAGCCTCCAAAGTTCCCAGTACCCGCCGCCCCTAGTGCCCGCCTGCTCCTGCTGCGGCTGGACCTGCGCAGTCTCCGATTCAGCCTCGGACTCCAGGAGCAGAAGCTTGCTCTCAGGCTCCTCAGATGATGGTTGGAAAATGCGGCTTTGGTGGATCCGATATTCAGAGAGTACAAATAAATTCGTCAGGAGGAAAACACAAAAAAACACATGTCTTTTTCGAGTGGTACGCGTGCTTCCCCAGTACCGCAAGGGATCAAGAGAAACAAACCCCTGTAATGGCTCATCTTGTGCAATACAGAAGCAAACATCGTGCACTACACACACACAAAAGGGTGTGGGCAACAAATGAAACTATGTGCGCAGCACCGCGCTGTTTGCGTTCCTTGAGCCAACGGATTCGAGTGCACCCGTGTTATTAACGGTTCACACTCCCCCTGGATGCTCTGCATCCATGCTTCTAAACCTGCGGGTCCGCCGGTTTCAAAAGGCCGCTATGCCACAACCGCCTACCCCGCCCTCCTCTCATCGCTCTCCTCCACAGGCGCCATGCCGCGTCGGCTTGAGCTCGATGCCGACCCCCGCAATTCAATCAGCCCAGCCACCGCCGCCCGGTTCTTGCATTGGCCATGCTCTCGATGACCCACCTGACCATGTTGTAGGCCATCTTGCTCTTCTTGCCCATAGCCAGCTTCTCTTTCTTCCTTTCCTTGACCAGCTCCTCCTTCTTCCTTTCCTTGACCAGCTCCCCCGGGCCTAGGGTTCCATCGTCCTTCGTGCCATGAAGTCCATGCAGAGGGACTCCCCGACTCCTCGCCTCCAAGAAGGCCCATCTGTCCTCCAAGAGCTGCTCCATCCTCCGATAGTACTCCATGCGCTCCGTGCCCAAGACTGACCTCGGCGCTCTCACCGGTTGCTTGCCCCCGGCACCATCACGCACATGGCACACTACCACAAAGTCTTGCTCCTGGGGCTTTGCCCCGGATCTACATGACCTATTCGGTCGGGGTGCCTGCTTAAGGTGCGCCCGTCCCGGGCCAAATCCCATCGTCTGTCGCTGGTCTCTTGGACTGCCGGTAGTCCTCCCCCCCAGGAAACCCTGTCCGGACCCTTCAAACTCAGTTCCCCTTGCGGTGCCGCTTTCCGCCGTCTCTTTCGGTGGGCTCTGAGCCTCTTTTCGCGGTCCTTTCTTTTCTTGACTGGGTTCTTCAACCGGTCCTTTTATTTTCTTCGCTTTTGTCCCACAGGCCTTCTTGGTGATCTCCCAAACCACCACCGCCCACCGTGAGGATCAACTCCACCGGGATCGACTCCTCATCGATCTCCACCACCTCCTCTGCCATTGCTCCCGCCGCCAGGCTGAGCATGCCAATCACCGCCTTCAGCTTGTCCACCACCAACCATCCTGCAGCTCCGAACGTGCCGTTGGGCTTGCTCCCCAGCACCTTCTTCACCTTCTTCTCCTCCAACACGTCCAGGCCCATTCCTCTCCGGCACGTTTCAAACTGGGTCCTGGTCAACGCCTTCGTGAGGCCATCCGCCGCCAAAAGAGTTCCCGGAAGATGCCTCAAGCGCCAGTCCTCCTCCTCAATGAGCTCCGTCAGCTTCCCAGCCCGGCACTTCAGATGCCTTGACCTCCACGCGCACGCTGGCGTTGTAATGATGCTGATGGCCGCCGCATTGTCCCCCAAGATCATCTTCCGAACCTTCTTCACCTCCAACATTTCCACAAACGATGACACCGCCTCTCCAATAGCAGTGGCCTGCACATAGCCCGTGAGCTCCGCCTCTGCCGTGGACATCGTGGTGTACGCCTGCCTTGTGGACTCCCACGCAATGATGCCTCTTCCATACATCACCATCACGCCCTGAATGGACCGTCCTCCTCCTGGTGCAAAGCTCACGTCCGCCTGAATCTCCAGCGTCCCCATCTCCTGAGGGCCCGGCCCTTCTCTCGGCTTCATTTCCTTCTTGTAGATGATGCCTGCACCTCGTCCGTCTCCTTCAAATAGCCCAGGATCTGCTTCGCCGCCCGCAACGCCTGCTTCGGATTCCGCGCCACCATCCTAGACGCTTGGCCAACCGCAAACGCCACATCCGGCCTCGTTCGGGTCGAACCCACAACAGCTCTCCCAGAGCTACCTGCGCCTCCCAAACATCATCCGCTGTTCTGTCAACTTCTTCCTCCTCTGCCAGCTCCACCTTCGCCGCAGGCACGTCAAAGTTCTTCACCTCGGGGTATCTTCCCACCAGGTCCCGGATATACGCCGACTGCCCCAGCCAGAATCCCCCTTCCTTCTCGCAGATCTCCATGCCGCAGAACGTGACCGGAGTGCTCCCTTCCACCACCTCCGGGGCGGATGTCTTCCACTCCTGCTGCAGCCTCTGCATGAAGCCCTTCATGACGCCCTCCTTAGCCGCCACCAACATATCGTCCACATACACCACAATGTTCCCCACCGCGGCCCCGAACTCCACCTCCTTGATTGCTCACAGGTTGAAGTCCACATCATTGACCCGCCACCCAAAACTTGCCATCGTCTTGTCCCTGTGGCAACCCCAGTCCTTTGGGCTTGTGTTCAGTCCATACAGCGCCTTCAAAAGCTGCTTCGGCTGCTGCTTCGGCTGCCCCCCCAACACCCACGCCAGGTGCCACCTCACCCACAACCTCCCCCCCGGCCGCCCAGGCCGGCGCCGGTTGCTTCCCCCTCAAGCGCCTCCTCACACGTCTTTGATCTTCTCCTTCCACTTTCTCGTTTCCTCCTCTGCCTTCTCGACCTCAACCCGACCCTCCTCCCCCGGGGCTGGACCCCTCTCCTCCTGGCCTGAAACCTGCCCTCATCAATGCCCTCGCTTCCTGGGGCGTCGTGTTCACCTCCGAATGTCCAACACCTCCATGTCCTCCTGGGGCTATGCCTCCACTCGGCACCGAAGGACGATGCCCACTTCCAGCTCGGCCCCCTTCTCTGCGATCTCGAGAAACTTCCTTTCCTTCTTCATGCCGACCCGACCCAGCATGCCCTTTTCCTGGAGCTCCTGCCGGATCACGATGTCCATGGCCTCCTTTCCACCCTCCATGAGCTCCTGGAAGATGCCCGCGTCCTCGATCATCAGGCCGACCTCCATGAGCCTCCAAAGGATGTCCTCGACCTCGGTCATCATGCCACCCTCCATGAGCTTCCGGATGCCCTTGACCTCGATCATCGCGCCACCCTCCATGAGCTTCCGAAGGATGCCCTCGACCTTGATCATCGTGTCGCCCTCCATGAGCTTCAGAAGGATGCCCTTGACCTCGATCATCGTGCCACCCTCCATGAGCTTCCGAAGGACGCCCTTGTCCTCGATCATCGTACCACCCTCCGTGGGCTTCTGAAGGATGCCCTCGACCCGATGAGCTCCCGGATGATCTCCTTCGCGAGCCTCTGGTGGCCAGCCTCCAAGTGGAGCCCGACGACCATCTCCGCTGGTCCTCTTGCAGGCTCCTTTTCACTTCTTCCTAATACTCCGACTTCCCGCTACTCACCGTCTCGGGATGTTGCCACCCTTCCTGATCTCCATGCCCCTTCTCCTCCGACCCTTCGGGCACCCTTGGGAGATCCCTGGGCCTGTGGGCCTGAAGCTCCGCCTCTGCCCTCGCCTTCTCGCTCCAGAACGGGTTCACCTCCACCGGCCTACCCGTTTCCTCGCCGTCGGTCACCCCGTCCGCGGCCTCGCCGGTTGTGGTGACCTCCTCCCCCTCCGGCTCAGCCACCAGGATGCCCATGCCGGCGACCTCGCCCTCCTTCTCCGCATGCCTGGGTCCATGGCTGGCCTTTGTCAGGGGGCGTTTGGGCTCATAACCTATGTGCGCAGCACCGCGCTGTTTGTGTTCCTTGAGCCAACGGATTCGAGTGCGCCCGTGTTATTAACGGTTCACAGAAACGATTCATCCTCTTGTAGTTTAGGGCTTGGGGGAAACAAACAAGAACTTTCCATGCAGCACCCAGAGTGTGCAAGCAACAACACCTCCTTTTCGTGAGCTAAATTGGCCATTCTTAAAGCTTCCAACACCAAAGGGAGCACCAAAAGCATCTGGCGTTCAAAAAGAACACAGGCACCTTCAGCACAAGTTGTAAAGCCAGTACCTGCCAACTCCAAGCGGGCGCTGTCCTTGGATAGCTTGCTCAGCTCTGCCCACTTGTCCTGGGCTGTCAAATTCAACTCATGGAAACATCACTTAGCAAGGACCAAAAAATAGGAGGTTCCGTTTGGGACCTGGAGTGGTTTGCTTTCACTCCAGGTCCCAAACGGAACCTTCTAGCAAACCAACACAAAACAAACATGTGAAAGGTTGCCGGTAGTTAAGATCACCTAAAGCATCTGAGACCACCCAGAATCTGATCCTCCAACTGGTCGAGCGGGCGGAATATGTGCACATTCATGTACCAGTGACCCATCTACGCTTCTGCGTTTTTGCCTGGAAACTCTTTTCAATATCTTTTGTGAGACAGGTAGCTCGAAGCATATCGCATTCAATGCAGCAAGTCAGTGGCAATCAACACTCAAGTGTGGCGATTCCCAAATAAAACAATCAACCTGGAACCCGAAAGGGGGTCCCTGATTTTGTTGAGACAAGAAGTCCATGATGTGAAGCTGCAAATTGAAAGCCTTTCTTGGCATCTGGAAGAACAAGTTGCTCAACATTTTGCCAAGTCACCCCCCAGGAGGTAGCTTAGGTTTTTAAAGGAGAATCACCTTGAGCCATCCTGAACACAGAACCAACATCATGTGTCCAGAATATTGGGCTTTTCAGCCACTGCGTGAGCGCATCCTCTTACCTGAGACTAGCGTGATCCCAATTACGTAATTGGTGTATGTGTGTGTGTGCACTTGGACGATAGTTTGCTGTTGAAAGAAACCGGAAGCCCTTGCTGTTTTGAAGGGGCCGATTCCAAGCCGCTTTTCACAAGCCTGGGTGCCTGAGCAGGGGGCACGGCAGAGACCTCCAAAATAAATGGTTGACTTCTGATTTCCTCTTTAAGCTCGCCGCACCAAATGTTCACCTTTGGGAGACACCCATTTTGAGCTGGCTGCTAAGTTCCTCTTGCAAACATTCAGGTGGTTGTGAGATGATGTGAGGCAAGCTTTGGTCGATGTGGACGTGCTTGGCTTGGTGGATGAGGCGAAAGAAGCGCATCTCAACATTGCACAAGTTGAAGGAAACCCCTTTAAATGGCCATGACACCATATTTGATCCTTCCAAGAAAGGACATATCAGGATCCCTGAAAGTAGAGGAACCAGGCAATCCGCCCAAAATGTCAGGCAAGGGGACTCCTTCTATCAAGGCTATAGGAAGCCTCTCCCTTCCAAACCAATTAACCCTACCATTTACAAAAACCAAGGCCCCGGGGCAACCCTGGGTTAAAACCTCTGGGGGCCCTGAGCCTTCCCTCCACCTGCCAGGCTTGCTTCTCGAGCGTCCTTGGCGCCCTCCGTCTTAGGCCTGGAGCTCTTTCGGCTTGTCGCACCTGCGCTTTGACCAGTTTCGGCACCCTGCACCCCGCACTCCGACAGGTACGCCCAGAGGGTTTGGGCCAACTGCCTGTGCTGCGAGATGCGGTTCAACCGCAATTCATGGTTTCCTGTACAACAAATATCCACATGCTGGCTTCAGACCAACTTTCTCCAACTTTGTTGGACCTTGTTGGAGGTGTGGGGGCACAATCTCGCATTCCTAAACTGAGCGACAAACAAGAGCGATACTACCACAGGGTTGACATGGTGCATTGCAACAACAAGGGCTTGACTGGGTTTGGTCCTTGACCCTTGGTAAAAACAAACTTTGCGTTGCTTGATGGGGAAGCAGCATGTGTCCAAAAGGATATAGGCTCAACAAAAAGCAGGCAAGGTGGCTTTCTGTGAAGTCACGCAGAACACCATCCAAAGAAATCACAGTTCTATAGATTTGCCGAAGCAATCAACATCAGTGCTCGATTCGTCCTGGTTTTCTTGCCTCTCCGAGTCATCAAACAGGAGGAAGATGGGCGTCCTTTTGCTCATGGTGCACAAGCTGTAAAAGGGCCACCTGCAGTCCCCGCTCCAGGCGGCCTTGGGGCGCGCTGGACGGCACTCTCCCAGCTCCGGCAGCGATCTTTGGCTGCGGCGGGTGTCCTATGGAACCGCGCAAACACGCAGAGATCTTGGTTCCCAACAAAAACACCAGAGAAACAACACAACGGAAGGATCTCTCAGAAGGCAGCGGTTGTGACCTATGCCCGTTTGGAAGGTATGCCTTTGCCCGCACAGCCTTCGTCATGGTACACGCTCTACACATTTACGTTTTTTGTTCCATGACCATTTCACAAAAGCTGCAAGAGGTGTAAAAGAACATCGTGCACAACATTTGCAAGAAGTTACAAGAGCAATCGTCATGCCATCAGCAAAAGGAACCCAGCCAAAAATAATTGCCAAACACTAGTGAGGATCCTGGTGTAAAGAATCAAGCTCGGAGCCTGAGCACGTGAAGAGAGCCTTCACATCTTTGTATGGGCAGCCATGGCCCGAAATTCAAAGCAGCAGGACATGCGTAAGTCGAAGGACAATCGCCTCTACATGGGCCATAGTGTCTCGCATGCGACAACATTGTGTGTTCTGCGTGCGTGTGCGTGCGCGCATGCGCGTGCGCTTGCGCGTGCGCGTGCGCGTGCGCGTGCGAGTGCGCGTGCGGGTGTGAGTGCGCGTGCGCGTGCGTGTGCGGGTGGGGGTGTGGGTGTGGGTGTGGGTGTGTGTGTGTGTGGGTGTGTGTGTGTGTCTGTGTATATGTGTGTGTGTCTGTGTGTATATGTGTGTTTGTGTGTGTGTGTGTGTGTCTGTGCGTGTCTGTGCGTGTCTGTGTGTGTCTGTGTGTGTGTGTCTGTGTGTGTGTGCGTCTGTGTGTGTGTCTGTGTGTGTGTGTGTGTCTGTGTGTGTGTGTGTCTGTGTGTGTGTGTGTGTGTCTGTGTGTGTGTGTCTGTGTGTGTCTGTGTGTGTGTGTCTGTGTGTGTGTGTGTGTCTGTGTGTGTCTGTGTGTGTGTGTCTGTGTGTGTGTGTCTGTGTGTGTGTCTGTGTGTGTGTCTGTGTGTGTGTCTGTGTGTGTGTCTGTGTGTGTGTGTCTGTGTGTGTGTCTGTGTGTGTGTCTGTGTGTGTCTGTGTGTGTGTGTGTGTCTGTGTGTGTGTGTGTGTCTGTGTGTGTGTGTGTCTGTGTGTGTGTTGTGTGTGTGTGTGTGTGTGTGTGTGTGTGTGTGTGTGTGTGTGTCTGTGTGTGTGTCTGTGTGTCTGTGTGTGTGTGTCTGTGTGTGTGTGTGTGTCTGTGTGTGTGTGTCTGTGTGTGTCTGTGTGTGTCTGTGTGTGTGTCTGTGTGTGTGTGTCTGTGTGTGTGTGTGTGTCTGTGTGTGTGTGTCTGTGTGTGTGTGTCTGTCTGTGTGTGTCTGTGTGTGTGTGTCTGTGTGTGTCTGTGTGTGTCTGTGTGTGTCTGTGTGTGTCTGTGTGTGTCTGTGTGTGTCTGTGTGTGTCTGTGTGTGTCTGTGTGTGTGTGTGTGTGTCTGTGTGTGTCTGTGTGTCTGTGTGTGTCTGTGTGTGTCTGTGTGTGTGTGTGTGTCTGTGTGTGTCTGTGTGTGTCTGTGTGTGTGTCTGTGTGTGTGTGTGTCTGTGTGTGTGTGTGTGTGTCTGTGTGGGTGTGTCTGTCTGTCTGTCTGTCTGTGTGTGTGTGTGTCTGTGTGTGTCTGTGTTTGTGTGTCTGTGTGTCTGTGTGTGTGTGAGAGCACGCGTGCCTGAGGGCGATGCCTGCGACCAACCTGTGTGCACGGAGCTGTGTGTGTGTGTGTAACTCACAGGGTGTGTGAATACCATCCCCCCTCCCCCCCACCCCCCCACCCCCCCGCTGACGAACGGATAACCGTGCCACATGGGGCCAAAACAAGCATGTCCCAAAAAACGCACTTTTGCGGGCACGGTTAACGGTCCGTCATCCACACGACAAACGCCGCCAGGGCTTAGGAAGGAAACTCCTTCTGCGATGCAAGTGCTTTCAAAGACCCCTCAATTACCGTTCTCCCAGTGAAATGACAAGCAGCAGCTCGGCTCTGAGAAAACACATCACACAGCCATCAATACAACAAATGACAAACACAACACTCTCACTTTCAGCTCGCTGGACAAACAAGTCCTCAATCCAAACCACCAAAAACACTGTCTTCCCCCGCGAACAGGCAAAATGAGAATTGGGGTCAGGTAGAAAAGGGGGCAAACAACCTCACCTCGCCTCGGGCGTTGCTCAGGTTCAGGCCCTTTCTGTGATACCGAAGTCAGGTTCCCCCGATGACTAAGCAGTTACTTTGCACAGGATGCCTTGGTCCGCTCGAAAACAGTGGCGCACGCGCCAACACCAACCTCAACCATTCCCACGCGGTCCTTCGGCAGCTTTCAAGGCGTCCAGTGCGACGAAGGGCACCTCCCGGCACTTGGCCTCGCGGATCGAGCATTGGGTCCAAGATGGACATGCAGGTCTTTTGAAGTCAAAGATGTGCCAACTTCTGCCGTACATGGTTCTTAGATGCCTGATATGTCGAAACGGGAAACCAAAAGAACAGCAGAAAGCGGTTTTTGTGGTATCGAAGGTAGGCAGGGATGCTTTGTGCCAAAAACCGGGATTCTGGAGGGTCCCTTTTCGTCTTTAAACAGCCTGTCCGCTTGCATGGCAGCAGGCCTTGGGACCGCCCCGTAGAACCTCAAATTCTTTTGCCAACGCAAAGGGAATATTGAAATACTGTAGCGGCTTGGGCAATGACGGGGTTGTTGCACTGAAGGAAAAGGAGGCTGGTTGCACCTCTGTGCTAAAAGACTACATCACGCTGCTTTTTTGCGGGAGCCTTTCGATGCGACAGCATCTTCCGAAAGTTCAGGAAGCAGTTAGGTGAACCTGAGATTGAGAGTTCGATTGGGTCTCTCTCTCTCTCTCTCTCTCTGAGAAAGTCATGGTGCAATGCCAGTTGTTGCTAGAAAAGACCGCTGCTAAAGTGTGACAAATTGGGGCTCCAATGTTTCCCGACGCAAGCCTCACCGACGCAAGCCTCAAACAAAGCCCCGGACTCGGAGTTTCTTGGCAAAAGCACTTGCAAAACTAAAATCCAAGTGTCAAATCAGAAAAGGATGCTTTGGGAAAGGAGGGAAATGCAGGAACGCATACTTTGAACCGTGCATTTGGATGCACATATTGCCCTGGACCAACACTGCAATAAGGCATGCCCGGAATTGATCCCCGAATGCCGGCTGTCACCACTAAGATCATTGTAGAGGTGGTTGGCAGCAAACATCCGCCCAGTTTGGTTGCGTTGCCTGCACGTCGCTGCGTACACCCCATTGTCCGGTGCGCCTCCAAGCTGCACCTCGTTAAGTTGGCTTCCAGGCCCTGCAAATGAGAGGCCACCACCTGCGAATGGGAGAGAGGTTTCATACCGCTCGGCTCAGTCGAACGGCTTCAACCCTGCAAAGGCAAGGGCACGCCGGGCAAACGCCTCAGGAGCACACATGTCCACGTAACAGGCCGGCAATGAACCGCAAGTTAGCTTGGAAAAACCAACTGTTGTAGGGGGCCAAGCGGGACCAATTCGCTAAGTCGTTCACAATCCTGCCTTCTAGCCAGGTGTTCTGTTCTTTGAGTTGTCCGCCTTCAATTGTCCTGAAGAGCACTTCACTAGCCTTGCAACCCATGAAGGTTTTTGGGCCTCGGTCAATATGCCAGCCTTACCTTTTTCGCCATGAACCCATCTTGCTCGTTGGTAGGGAAAACAAAAACAACATAAACAAAGCAAGGTCGAACTAAAAACCAGTCAAGTTCAGGAAAAAAGAACACGCTCCAGGATCTTTCGGTAACGCGCAACGAGTCCGACCCACCCCGAATTGTCGCAGCGGCCGATGCCATGTGATTTTTTGGCGTCACAAAGACAAAGCAGACCTCTAATTGCTGGTTGTTTTCCTTATGGTTTGCCCTGAAAAGCATTCAACAGCGGGGATAACTAGCTTTGAGTTTGAACTGCTTGACTGCCATTTGGTGGCTTGCTCACAAAGGGTGCCACAAAGACATGGGAAGCACAATCAACCAATTTCTCTGTTCCTTGGCTTTCTGATCTATCGCGCCTGCAGCGGCGCCTCCTGGTTTTTGAAGCGCCGCTTGCCGTTGTACCGGCGGTGCAGCGCTTGAGCGCTGGAGGCCAGGCGGAAGTTGAGCCAGGCCTGCAATCGGTTTGAAGCGCAACCGCCCAAGGGCATGTCCAAGCGCAGCGCACAGCGACCAAAGAACACAAGAACGCAGGTTTGTGTACCTGCAAGTTCTCGGAAGTTTCCTGAGAGAACTCTTGGCAAAAAATCGACCCTCCTCCTCCCTCCCTCCCCTCCCCTCCCCTCCCCTCCCCTCCCCTCCCATCCCCTCCCCTCCCCTCCCCTCCCCTCCCCTCCCCTCCCCTTCCCTCCCTCCCCTCCCCTCCCCTCCCCTTCCTCCCCTCCGCCCACAGAAGAAAAAAAGCAAACACACAAGGTCGAGTCTCAACATCTGTCAGAAGTCAAGCTGGGAGTTCCGGGTACTGAGCCGGCCTTGCCCCCTCAGCAACATATCTATATATTGTATAATATAACCTTCTGCAGGTTTAAAACATCCAAGGGGCTCTATAAGGATCCACCAAAAACCAGACTTGCTTAGAGACAAATCCTCTTACTAAGAGGTCGCTACATGTCCTTCCCAACCTTGCGCCATGATCTTTGATTTGGAACACCCAAAACCATGCAACTACAATGCTGAACATGACCGTAAGTGCTTTGCCCTGTCGTCAGGGAATCGAGCCAGAAGGGCCCTTGGCTGCGACGGGCAGCAAGAGAAGACGACTAATTGGAGTTTCAATTCTTGGCTTGGCGTAGAACCACCCATGAGTCCAACACCCAAAGGCTCCATGCTCCATGTATCAGGAAAAAACAACAAGCTCGAATCAGAAATGGCGCGGCACGCAAAACCATGGCGCTTTACAGCCAGCACATGTCCTTGTTCCGGACTTGCCTTCCGGTTTCTGGCCGCAGGGACCTTCGCCCGGTTAAACCTAGGTCCTTCCGCAAAGAGCCAACACCGATCGCCTTTTCCAGGTTCAACGGAAGATCAAATCAGTCGATCTCAGCTTCCGGATCCATCAAGACTCATGTTTTGAAGACCGTTCAGCCCCGAAGACCTCGGATCCGCCAACCAGCCCGGAGAGGACACGGAGAGAAAACTAAAACCCCAGAGCTATGCGGTCTGCGGCTCCGGCGCGCCTGGCCACGACCCAGCCCCGTTTTCCAATCAGAGGGCAAGCTGCAGTAGTCCTCGGTCTGTGTGAGTTGGCCACGAGAGAGCGTTGCAAACAGGTTCCAATAAACAAGTTTCAGCTTGCACCGCATGACAATTTTGCATGTCGCGCCCTGGAAGCCATCAATTAGACCCTAGAGATGAACATGAAAGAGATGAAAGAGAGCAAAGGCCAACCCATGTCGGGACCGTGGGGAGGGAAGACAAACGAGCGGCGATCTGCTTCTCAAAGCCATCATCGCGTAAAGCCTGCAGAAATTCCTGGCCGCAGCGAGGGGAACAAAGGCATTCGGGGAGTGGCGGGAAGCCTTTCAAACGTAAAACTTAAAACCCACAATGCCCAAGATCTAAGCTTGGAGTCAAAGAAGGGAGACCATTGAACGAGGTAGCTGAAGTGGAACTTAGAGGATCACTTTGAAATGGAGCTTACCAAAGGATCGTTTGAGGCCGGTTTTGCCGGTGATCGGCGGTCCAATGCGGTTGCGAACATTTACTCTAGATATACACATAGCAGCTTGGAATCAGTTTGCAGAGACACATTCAGACCAACCAGGGGCTACACGAAACAATGTTCGAAGCTTTCAAGAATTGGGGCCAGGACGATCACGCTGATTCTGGTGATTTGCTGCCAGCAACGGACTCGCTTTATTCGCATTCGTGCAAGCCGTGTTTCTGCTTCATCATGTTGGGTTGTCTCAAGACGTGTGGAGGGCACAATGACACCCTGATGGTTTTTTTGGGGGGTCCAGAAACAACCCACATGTTGGTGTTTCCTGTATTGGGAAGGCCTACTAGTGTGCCCAAAGGACCGGAAAGTAACAGATCAATCTTTTGTGCTACAAGGGAGAACAAACGATGCCAGTACCACAAGGTGATATTTGGCCGAGTTGCGCTGGCAACTGAAGAAGTTTACCTTAAGGGAGTAGATCCAGTTCCGGCGTCATTTCCGAGGCAAATCCGCACCTGCAAGGCGTCCTTTGGCTTGCGAATGAACCGTTCGGTTACCAAGGTTGACTGAGTCCTTTAATTTTCCTTTTTGAAGGGCCCCAGAAAGGACACCCTTACCAAACAAAACGTACGGGTGCTTTTTATCGGGGGCCTCCATGTAAAATCTAGGGACACCTGGAGCAACTCTTCCTCCCTTCAGGTCCTGCTGCAACACGGAGCTGGGGATGTTCTTCACCAGCAGGCCAGTGACATCTGCCTGACAGCTTTCGGATCTACGCCTGAGGTTGGGATGACTTCCAGTTGCCTGGGCTAAATGGTCAAAGTGTTCACTGGTCATGGGAGGTTCCAGCGGCAAATCCGAAGGAACAAGGCAAATCCGCTCGAGAAAATGAACGATGAGAAAATGCTTGACGAAGTGATGGCTGGGCAAACAGTGGGTTCAAATTCATCATCGGGCTCCAGCAGCAACTTAGGCTGATTGAGGCTGCAAGTGTTAGCTTCTTAAATGGAAAAGCCCCCAGCACTGTATATCACTGTTCTCACTTTGCCAAGCTATCGCTCAAGTTTCTGATCCTAGAGATTCTGCAACAACACCTTGGCAGAATTTGCAATAGACAATCGATCGGGCTGAGTCTCCCCTACTTTGAGGAGCAGGGGCTGGCGGGGGGGGGGGGGGGGGGGTTGCTAGTTATATGTATCCATTCATAGGAAAGGAACATGGGCTGCTGTGAACAGAAACGCTGACACATTGCCGATTTGCTCGCCGAAGACCCGAAATTTGGGTGCATGATGCTGATCGGTTTCTTCGAAGTCCATTTATACATATGGCTCGATCATCAAAGCTGCTTGACCTACAATGCAATCTTGTCAACAAAAATGCATGTTTTGCAGTGGGGGAAACCATGGAAGCATGGTCTATTGGGCTTTAGCCTTGCCGTGTGGAACAACAGCAAGTCGGCTTGCCTGACACTACTTTGCCTGAACGGCTCAAATGGAGCCCTGCGCCAAGCTGGTCCGTAGCATGTGTACTGGCCTGCAAAAATGATGCATTGACTTGTACCTATGCTACATGAGTGGCCTAGTAACTCAACAAGCAGGCTTGTCCTTAATCGAAACACAGCACGACAGGTGTTTGGAGACAGTAAGCTTTTTCTCGGCATTCGGGTGCCCACGTCCTACCAACGTAGTCTGGTTTCCGAGCCCGTTAGTTGGGGTATGCATGAAGCCCCTTTTGATCAAGGCAGTGAAGGAAAAAGACTGCCAGCACCCGACAAGGGTTATGAGCCCAAATCGCTCTTAAGCCTCGCGGCGCGGTCATGGACGCCGGGATGAGGCGGAGACGGGCGATGAGCGTGGATGCCGCTAGAGGCATCATGGTGGCCGAGCTGGAGGGTGATCTTCCGGAGCCTCGCGAAGAAGAAGGGCCACCACACGCTGGAGGTGAACGGCGGCAAAGGGTGAGCGTGAACCCTTTCTGGAGCTCGCGGGCGGTGGGGGAAGCGGAGTTGAACGCGATGAGACCTGAGGGTCTGCCCAAGGTCCCGGACACCGGGAGTTCCCGAAAGGCTGAAAAGGAGAAGGACGTTCGGGGAGGTGCCGGTGACGCTCCTGAGGGAGATCTTCCTGGGCGAGAACGTGAGGAGATTGGTGGCCACCCGGAAGCTGCTGGAAGTAGAACCAGGACGGAGGAGTTCTGGAGTGAGATCAGGAGAGACCTGACGGAGGAACTGGAGGAAGCAGGAGCGGCTGGAAGAGCCAACGGCGGAGGACATGGTCCTGGAGAAGAAGGACGACACCTAGGTGAAGGTCAGGAACGTGGTGATGGAGCTCAACTACATGGGATTGGAGGAGGGCTGCATCGTGGAGAAGAACGGAGACCGGCGGACGAGCAAGGGCCTCCGGTGGAGATCATGGGGAGACCGGGTCTTATGCGAGGAAGACCTGCGGGGCGTGAAGGTGATCTCCGGGAACCGATGATGGTTGATCCGCGGTTTGCGCGGCCGGTGGATGAACAAGGAGGACAAGACGGAGGACGGCGTCTACATGGAGGCCCAGCACCTAGACCTAGCGAAGCGAGTGAGAGACCAAGGGCGCGAATGGACCTTCATGAGGGACAAGTACATCGGCGAGATCTAGGAACACATGGTCGTGATCAGACCGGGAGGGAAGCTGGACGAGCCGCAGGGACCGGAGCAGCTAGCTCATCGAGGAGGTGGACCCGTGAAGGGCGAGGCCTGAGCCTTGATTGGATCTGGAATGATGAGCACAAGGTCTGGGTCCCGGAGCTACCTCAACGAGACGAGGAGGAGCTCATTGGTGAGCTGGATCTGGATGTGGAGATGGAAAAGAACTACGGCAAGGCATGCCGGAAGCTGCTGGGAATGGAGAAGCAGCGGGAATACCTCTTCGGCGTGATTGAGGAGTTGAAGGAAAGGGTCAGGAAGGGCCAAGAGAAGGTGCAGCTCTGGAAGGACCTGTACGAGAAGGCTGAGCGAGGAAGACAAGAGGAAGTGGAGAGGTTCATGACGCCTGTTGCGGAGGTGTTTGAGACGCCGATGACACAGGTGGCCGTACCCCTGCCACCTCCACCACCACCGCCGCCGATGCCGGTGGCTAGGCCTACGTCGAGGACTATGAGCACACCGAGGGCAAGGACACGATCGCCTACAAGGAGGTTGAAGCACACTCCAGGTGGAACCAGAGTCCCGGAGGGTGAGCCATCGCATGAGGTGGAAGCCGTGGTGGAGTCGGAGAAGTGGGAGGCGCGTTGGGAGGACCAGCAACAAGGTTCCAACGGCTGGTGGTACAGAAATTGGAGTGGTCTGTGGAACTACTGGGATGACCAGAGCCAGCACCACAAGGCGGAGACGAAGCCGATTGACCAGGTGGAGACAGGAGGAGCGGGAGCAAAGGTTGAACTTCCGGAGCTGGCCTACGATCATTCTCCACTCACATTGGGGGATTGGCTGGCGTTGGTGGCTCCGCAGATGCAAGATCTGTCTCAGGGAGCGGCAGAGTGGTGGGTTGGCACAATGGAAGAGGCCAAAAGGCTCTATGAGGTGTGGTTGAAGAGCACGCCGCTGGAGCGCTTGCAGATCACGGTCGCCTTGCCGGAGGCACTTCGGGGCCTTCGTTTCGTGCGAACTGAACAGAGAGGGGTGACCCTTCTGTTGCGGGCGATACCGGAGGAGATTAAAAAGGAGCTAATCTCTTCCAGAGACATCAGCAGCACTGGAGTCCTATACAGGCTGCTGGTCACCTACCAGCCGGGTGGGCCGGGGGAGAGGACCCTGATCCTCAGGAAGCTCACGGATCTGGGGCCGCTGCGGGGCTATGCGGAAGCTGCTGTGGCTCTGCGGGAGTGGAGGAGGTATTACATGAGGGCTCAGGAGATTGGCGCCTCTTTACCAGACCCGACCCTGCTGGCAGCGGCGCTGGAAAAGGTGACGTTACTGGTGAATCGGGGAGGACCTCAAGCGTTTCGGGTGGCCCAGGCACGGACCATGTTGGGGTTGGACACCACGCCCTCGGTGAAGGGTATCTGGAGCTATTCGGAGCTCTTGCTTGCGGAGATGGACACAGCGAGGCTCATGAACACGGAGACGGCCAAGGTGAAAGCGATGGCCACGGGCGCAACGGTGGAGAAGCCCGGTGCGGAGATCCATGCGAAAAAGGAGGCGAGTACGGTGGTATGCAGGTACTTTGGATCCGAGCAGGGCTGCCGTTTGGGAAAAGGGTGCAAGTGGAACCACGACTGGGACTCCATCGTGGACAGGAACGCTCGGTGCTGGATCTGTGGGTCCAAACAGCACCGTCGGGCGGAGTGCCCTGTGAAGGGTGGTGGCAAAGGCCAGCCTGCGAAGCCGGCGGTCAAGGCGGCGACTCACGAGCCGAGAGACGGCTCGGGGGGAGGTGGTGGAGCTGGAGCTGGGTTTGCAAGTGGTGGAGCTGGAGCTGGGTTGGCAAAAAGCGGGCAGACAGCAGGTGCAACGGCAACGGAGGTAGAAACTACATCGGCCGCGGTGACTTCTACCGGTGGAGGAACGGGGGAGTTGCTTGCGGAAGCAGCGCATCTGCTACGGTCAATGAGGGCTCCTACCGCGAAGGCCATGGTGGTCATCAAGGAAATGAACACAGCGGTCGTCGACAAGGGCCTGCTGGATGGAGGCGCAACTCATGCGCTGCGGAGGTGTAGAGATTTGGAGGAGTGGGAAGCGGCCACGCCTACACAGGTGATTTTGGCTGAAGGAACCACTTCGAAGATGAGGCTCAAGGAAGGAACCCTCACGCTGATAACCTTGGAAGAGATCCAGCCGATCGTACCCATGGGCGTCTTGACCATGATGGGGTACGAGGTGGAGTGGAAGCAGGGCAACTGCAGGGTCAGACGCAGAGGGAAGAGCCTCGACGTGGAAATGGTGGACAGCTGTCCCATGGTGGAGGCGGAGGTCGCGTTGGGCCTCATTGCGGAAATGGAAAGCATGGAAGAGGACCACGTGATGCGGCTGGCGGCTATGAAAATGCCCATGGATCAGCTGAAGGACCAGCCGGAACTAGCCATGACGAAGGCTTTGAAGGAGTTCTTTCCGGGGGTCCCGGAGGAGATCATAAGCCGGGTGGTGCCGTGCATGGATGTGGATGGAGATGAGCTCCCGTGGAACAGAAGGAGGAGGCGGACGTTCGAAAGGGCGGAGCACCTGGTGATCCATCTGTTTGCGGGTGCAAGTGAGAAGGAGTGGATGGATGGGTTGGAAAGAAATGGGGTAGCAGTGATCTGCGTCGACACAGCCATCGATCCGGGTCAGGATCTTCACAGGCCGCAGGTGTACGCCTACCTGCTGAAGCTGGCTAGGACCGGAAAGGTCCAGGCGATCCTGGGTGGTCCTCCGTGCAGGACGGTTTCGGCCTGTAGGACGAGGAGCCCTGGACCCAGGCCGGTGAGATCAGAGGAGGAGCCCTACGGCAAGAAGGGTCTGACTTTGTATGAGAGAGAGATGGTTTACGGGGACGCGGTGCTGTGGCTGAGGATGCTTACCTTGCATGTGGTGGCCCAGGCCTCATCAGAAAGCAAGGTGATGTTCGTGAAGGAACAGCCGCAAGACCCAGGTGAATACAGGGAAGATGGGAACCCGGACTATGTGAGCGTCTGGCGTTTTCAGGAGTGGAAGACCTTTGCGCAGAAGTACGGCATGAACCTGATCAGGTGTGATCAGGGGGCGCTGGGACATCGGAGGAGGAAGCCAACTGCGTTAGGGGTGAACGTGCCGTACCTGAACCATTTGGATGGTGTGAGCGGTGCAGGCACGGGGGAGGAAGATTGGAATGGAAGTCTCGAAGAGCGGATCCAGCAGTCGAAGTCTTGGGCTTGTTGGGCTCCGGGTTTGAAGCTGGAGATCATGAATGCGGTCAGGGAGCACCTGAAGCAGCCGCACATGAGGCCCTTGCGGCCGGAGGAGATGCAGCGTTGGAAGGAGCACTTCGCCAACGACCACATGCCGGCGAGACGGGACTGCAAGACGTGCGTTCAGGCTCAGGGTCGGGGGAGACCGCATTTGCGGATCACGCACCCGGAGGCATACACCTTGGCGGTGGACCTTTCGGGGAGGCTGAAAAAGGGCCAAGACCAGCGAGTGAAGGTTGAGTACTTTCTGGTCGGGGTGTACACCTACCCGGTGGACATGGAGGGGAAGTCGCTGGTGCGGAGTGAAGAGGAGAAGCTGCTATCTGCTGAAGAAGATCCTCTACCGGAGGCGGATGAAGGGGTGGAACCCTTGGAGGTGGAAGAAGAAGGAGAGGTAGTGGTGGAAGAAAAAGAGATGATAAAGGATGCAGAAGATGGAGAAAGGTGGAAGAAGCAGGTTCAAGAGGAAAAGAGTTTCAGGATTCGGAACCTCGTCTTTGCAGAACCGGTGGAAGACCGCAAGGCCATGAACGTGCTTCCGGCCATAGCGCGGATATACGCCAGGTTAAGGGCGTTGGGGCTGCCGGTGATGCGCTTGCATTCGGATCGGGCGCGGGAACTGGTTTCGGCTCCAATCAGGAAGTTCGCGGAGGAGAGAGGCATATACAAAACAACCGTCCCGGGCGACAGCTACAAGGAGAATGGCCGCGCGGAACAGGCAGTGGGTGCGTTGAAGAGGGCAACACGGACTATTCTGTGTGCCTCCAAGGAGAAGGCTGAGCTGTGGCCGTTGGCGCTGCGGCAAGCGGCGGAGAGGATGCTGAGAGGTCAGCTTCGGAGTCTGGGGCATCCGGTGAAGCAGCTGCTACCTTTCGCTACGGTGGCGTATGTGAAGAAGAAGGCTTGGACCGACCGCTACCAGGATTGGCGGTGGGACAGGGAGAAGGTCAACGTAATGGGTCCGGATGCGGCGATGTCCATCACCTCTGGAGGTTATTGGGTGAGGAGCTGTGAGGATGGCCGGTTCTTCTCGACCACGGATGTGATCCCAGAACCGGAGGTGGTGGAGGTCGACATGGAGCAAGCGGAAGTGAACCTGGAGGTGAGGCAGGAGGTGGATCTCTTGGCGCCAAAAAGGCGGCGGCTGAATGGAAAACAGCAGTTGTCGACGATGCGCGTCGAGGGGGAGGTTGTGGACCACTTGATGGAGGAGAAGATGTTGGAGTACCACAGCAACATCGCAACATGGATGGCTGAAGAAATGGAGCTGTTGGATGGGGTGGGCGAAGGACAAGAGTGGTGGCTCCCTGTGGTTCGCGAAGGAGTCCGAGAGAAAAATGAGCTGGAGATGAAGCTTAGGCAGCTCAAGGTGAACGAGACAGATCACCTGGAGGAGGAATGGTGGGTCACCAAGACGGTGGGTATGCAGGAGGTAAGGTCGGAGCTACAGGAGTGGTTGGCTCCAGCGAAGAAGGAATACGTGGCCATGACCGAAGAGCTGAAAGCAGTGAGGCCGGTGAAGAGAAAAGAGATAGATGAGTTGCCTGGGGTGGTGGAGTTTCTGCCATCCAAGGCGGTGTGCACTAGGAAGGCCCCGGACGGGAGGAGGAAAGTCCGTGGTGTGGTGTGTGGCAATTTCGCCAGCGTTTCGGCCAAGGAGGACACCTATGCGTCTGGAGCAGATGCCACGCAGATCAGATGCCTGGCGAAGATGGCGGCGATGAAAGGTTGGTCACTGGCAGGGACGGATATCAGGACGGCGTTTCTTCATGCGCCTCGGAGAGATGACTCGAGAACGGTGGTGATGGAGGTCCCGAACATCTTCAAGGAGGTGGGCTTGGCCGAGAAAGATGAGGTGTGGATCATCGATAAAGCGGTCTACGGCCTGAACACCAGCCCGAAGGATTGGGGGGTACACCGAGATAGCACCTTCAAGAAGATGGTTTGGAAGTGGACAGATGAGGAAGGCGCAGGATGGGACATGAAGTTCGAGGTGACCGAGGAGCCCAACCTGTGGAAGATTGCCGGAAGCAGGGTGGAGGGCCTGAGCTTGGTGGAGAAGCATATGGGGTTCATGTCCATCTACGTGGATGACGTGTTGATGGCGGCAAAAAAGGAGGTGATTCTGGAGGCGGCCAAATGCATTGAGAAGGAATGGCCGCTGTCAGAGCTGGAATGGCCGTCTGAGGAAGTGCCGTTGAGGTATTGCGGTTTTGAGATGTGGTGCACAGGACAAGGCTTCGATCTGAAGCAGAGCGCCTATGCAAAGGAGTTGGTGGACAAGTGGGGTGTCCAGGAGAAGGTTGAGGTGCCAGTCTTCAAGGCTCCGGAGGAGGAAGAGGAGTTGGACTCCACTATGCTCCGACGGGCCCAAGCAATCACGGGTGGTTTGCTGTGGTTGGCTACGAAGACGAGGCCGGACTTGATGGCCGGGGTGGCCACGATGGCGAGGAGCATGAAAAGCCCGAAACAGGTCGTGGAGGTTGGGATGGCGTTGCTGAAGTATGTGAACGCGACGACCGAGGTCGGGCTCCAGTACACGAAGGCTTCGGGATGGGGTGCGAGGGATCATTTGAGCGTGAAGCGACATGATCGGCTCTTGGAGGTATTTTCGGACATCAGCTATGGCACTGCTGGTGATCATAAGAGTGTGCAGGGCATCCTGGTGTACTTCGCGGGATCGCCAATTGCGTGGGAGGCAACCAAGCAGCCATTTGTGGCGCAATCAACGGCGGAGGCGGAGCTGATCGGCTATTGCGAGTCGCTCGTGGCGGGGAGGGCAACGGCGGCCTTGTTGGAGGTGATCCTGGGTGAGCAGCTCACCCAGAAGAGAATCTATGGGGACAACGTGGCGGCAATCGCCCTGGCTTCGAACGGATCGGGAAGCTGGCGAACAAGGCACCTTCGGATAAGAGCAGCCTCATTGAGATGGGCCTTGGAGGATGGAGGTTGGTCGCTTACACATTTGAGCGGGAAGCAGCTGGTTGCTGATGGCATGACAAAAGCGTTGAATGGCCAGGCCTTCGAGCGCTTCAGGGAAGACCTGGGCATGCCAATGGCGAGGAGGCTGTTGAAGAAGGCCATTTTGGCCGGAGGTGTGCGGAACGAAAAGGAGATGGAGATCGCGGCGGGTGGCTTTGGGGCGAAGATGAAGCTGCTGGCGGTGATTGGAGCGGATCTGGTGGGGAAGGCGGTCGCCTTGAGGGACGTCGTGCCCATCGATGAGTTCGATGCCTTGATGGTGGCGGGTGTCATCCTCATGGTAATCGGTGCGGTGTGGGTGGCAAAGCAAGCGGTGTGTGCCACTGTGGGATGTGCAAAAAAGCTGAGAAGGATCCAGGTGGAGGAGAGGCCGAGGGACTTCATCCAGGTGGATCGCGAGATCGCGGAACTTCGCGACCAGTGGGGTCGGAGGTGGGTGGTGCAGAAGGAGAAGGGGCTTGAGCAGGAGCACCACTGGACTGCGAATGTTGCATCATCGAGCTCGACGGCGAGGGTGAGGAGATGCAGCAATGACTGGAACGAGTTCCAGCACCTGAACCGTGGAAAGGGCTGGGGCACCGAAAAGATGAGGGCGGAATACTACAAGGAGAAGAGCAAGAAGGGGGTTTGAGTCTACGTTTTGGAGAACCGGTAAATAGCCCGGTTAGGCCTTTTCGGCACGGATGTGCCGGGGGGAGCCCGTTAGTTGGGGTATGCATGAAGCCCCTTTTGATCAAGGCAGTGAAGGAAAAAGACTGCCAGCACCCGACAAGCGAGAATTCCGCCACTTTAGCTGAAGAGGCAGAATTCAAGATGTGTCCAAAGTTGCAATCTGGAACCCTCTTGAGGGTGTTGCCCTGGATTTGCGAGGCAGGCTCAGTGCTTGAACCAGATGCAGCGCGATGCACGCTGCCTTTACTCAAAATTTAGTCAACTGTCAATCAAACCCAAGATCAGGGACTCCAAGCAGAAGGATATGTTTCCCCAATTCCCCCTCAATTTGAAAAGCGCTTCATTCCACACTTTCCACTCTTTCACTGGAATCTCCTTGCCACGTTTTGCCGTTGCAAGTTTGGCACACCGGCCGCTCCCGATGCCTTGAGGCTCTCGGCTTGCCGGCGCGGCCTCAGGGACTCAGAACCCGAACCGGCAAGTTTCATATTTTCGGGGCGTAAGCTGCCTGAACATCTCAGAAGGATCCCCATGGGCAAGGCCCCCGAAAGTGACTCAAAACCCAAAGCACCCTAGAAGTCTGCTCTAGATCTTTTGGGCACTTGTCTAGTACGCCCAACTGACACGAGGACTTTGGAGTTTTGGGACTTGTGACCACCGCCCATAGAGGCAGGCTCCACAAAAACAGAGAACATCTCTCTAGGGAAAACAAAGGCCCACCCCTTAAAGAGCTTCAGATCGAAGCGCTCTGAATGCCTTGTGGAAGTCTCGCAACCTCGGTCTCTCTCTCTCTCTCTCTCGCTCTCTCTGTGTCTCTCTTATGTCTGAGGCGGGACAGCTTCAAGAACCGTGGTGAGTCGTCCTTTGCAAGCCGAGCAGCTCGGCTTTTAGGCTCTTTGACACCTGGGCCAATGGAGTGGTGCATTTAGGTCAGGGCCACAGGTGGGTCACTGGCATGCCCTGAGTTGGATTCATAGGGAATAAAACTGCTTACCTTACCTAAAGAAGGAAAACACAAATGTCAACCAGTTGTGCTTGGCAATGGCACCTATGAGGGCATTCCTGGCCAGTGGTAAGTAAGTGTTTTTGGCTTGGCAATTCATGCGGCCAGTAAAACTACCAAGGTATTCCTAACACATCATCTTATAGATCTACAGCCCGTAGACCCCAGCAACACACACACACACACCCACACACGCAAACATACATCAGTTGCCTGCTTTGCATTGCCTTCCCAACAGCGACAATCAACGACCCAGGAATTCCCAGGATAAACAAATATGCTGGAAAGCATTGGGTTGGCCTTTTCTGGGCATCTCCGTGGTTCTACATGTTGTTTGCGGCATGTGCTTCAATTTGGCGCTTCCAACAGTTCCACAACTTGATTAATTAACTTGTCACTGCCCTGTTCAGGCAGAAAATACGTAGGTGTAGGACGGGGTAGGGCCTCTTTATACGTGCCATGTTTTCCAGAAAAGGCAAAGGTTGAGATCCGCGTGCCACGCGCTGCCTGGTCTCTCTCCAAATTGCTTCGGAAAGGAATCAGAACAAGAGGCCAGCTGTTTCCATCTGCTGCAACATTCACCTCGACCGAATTGTGGACAAAAGGCTTGTGATCTGCATCAAACAGCAAGACCATAGTAAGGTCTTGTGCGGTAACTGTTTGTTACTAAGCGTAAAATATTGCCGGATACCCTCCAAAGCGTCGCGCAAGGCGTTCTAAGCACATTATCAACTGACAGAGCAGAATTGAATTCCTCAAAGGAAACAATGATGTTCCGAAGCAGAAAGTAGGAACTTGTAGAGAGTGTTGTTTCTCACACTTTTGCGGCCGAAAACTCCCCAGCCAGCAAACTTAGCAGAGCAAGCACGTTCTTCAAAAACGTGCAAGGGCCACAAAGTGGTACAAAGGCCCTCTGTCGCCTGCAGACTTGCAACACTTCCCCTGGGTACCCACACGCCACCAAGTTCCCCAAAATACCAATGCAAAGTGGAGCCACTTAAGTTGACAATGACGTGTTTCCGCCCACAGTACCAACAGCAAGGTTGTTGCAAGCTTGACAAAGTCACGGGGCAATGACCTCCCAGGTAAAGCATTAGCCGGTGTACGGACCGGACAAAAAGATGAACCTTGCAACTTGAAAGCCGACAAATCGTAGAAAACCAGCAAAGAACGGTCAACAACTGATATTGCCTCACTCACTGCCCAGCTGGCCCCAACAACTTACCCACCTGGCCTGGCTCCAGCCTTCGCTCGCGAGACCGGCCAAAGCGACACCCCAAAGCCAATTTGTGAAGTTGGCTACATGCAGCCACAGTCATCTTCCCAACACATCGATCTTGACCCTGAGAAGTGCGGCCCCAAACTTCTGCCCCCAAAATGGCGACCTGCAGTTCCCAGCGCCCCTCAGTGCCGCTTGTCACAGCTGCGAACGTGTTTGGAAATTCAAACAAACCCGTGGCATTCACATGCAACCTGAATCAACCTGAAAAGAGGGCGGGTAGAACAAATAGGCAAGGTTAGGCATCATGCAAGTGGCCCGAAGGCAATGGTCTATCAGTGATGATGGGCCTCAAAATGCGACCCTCCTCGTGGTCATCATGATCTGGGCTCTCATCATGGGCCCGACAAGCATGAACTACTGTCTGTGAATGCGGGCATCCTGTAGCTTATATATATATATATATGTAGATTAGAATGACAAATCATGGAGTGAGAGGAAACAACTCCGTCAAAACGTGACCAAGAAGGAACCTACCCACCCCTAGGATGCCAGCATTTTGACACAAAGCTGTGCTTGGGTCAAGCCTGCTTGCTGGCTCTGACCAAAGTGCAAGTGGAGCTGTAACAATGAACCTGCAGCTGCCACTCGACATACTTTTCAGCAAGTTGATATGGTGTCTTGTTAAAACTTGATAGTGCAAAACTCTACTTGGCTTCGGAACAGTCCATTCCCAACGAGCGAGGAGAAGGTCACAGATGACATTATTTTTCCAAACATTCTTTCCACGTTCTGGTGTGTTCCATGCGATGTAACAAAATAAGGCTTGTGACGCACAAAGAACAATGTATCACATGTGAAATGCAACTGTGCGTGCTACATGCAACACCTCGTGCATGCTTGGCCCCCCGTTCAGTTTGGGTCAGACGATGCTTTTATTGGCACTGCCCAGTCTATTTGATCCCCTGGCACGAGAACAACATCGCCAAAGAAGCTGGGTGGCTTTTGGCTTGGGCAGATATGGATCTGTCTCCAGATGGTGGGTGACTAGGTTTGGGCGTCCCACCAACTCTTGACTTTTGACATTAGGCCAAGTTTAAAAACG